ACGCCTCCGACTTTGCCGTTGGAGCCTCCCTGCAACAACTCGTTAGTGGCAACTGGCAGCAGCTAAATTTCTTCTCTAAAAAGTTGAGTCCTGCTGAATGTAAATATGGGGCTTACGACCGTGAGCTTCTCGTGATTTACATGGCCATCAAGCAGTTCAGGCACATGGTGGAAGGAAGATCCTTCACGATATACACTGATCACAAACCGATCACCTATGCCTTCCAGAAGAAGAATGATCAGTGTTCTCCTCGACAGTTCCGCCATCTGGAATTCATCAGTCAGTTCACAACTGACATCCGCCACATTTCTGGAGAGGACAACGTCGTAGCAGATGCTCTCTCACGCATCTCTGAAGTCGAAGCCGCTCTGGATTATAAGGCGCTGGCAGCCGCTCAGCGCGATGACGAGGAGTTGAAGATCATCCTGGAGAACAGAGAATCTTCCCTGCAACTAAAGCTGATCCGGATCCCAGATGCAGATGTGTCAGTTTTCTGTGACATTTCTACGAGGTCAGCACGACCCTTTGTTACAGAACAGTTCCGGAAAGCAGCCTTCAACGCCATTCACCATCTCTCACATCCTGGAGTTAAATCAACGGTCAAGCTCGTAACCCAGCGTTACGTATGGCCGTCGATTAAATCTGACTGCAGGAATTGGGCCCGTAGCTGCATCGAGTGCCAGAAATCAAAAATTTCACGCCATGTCTCTTCACCTGTCGGCAGCTTCGCACCACCGTCAACCAGATTCGAGCATGTCCACCTCGACATTGTTATCATGCCTTCTTCAGAAGGTAAACGTTACTGCCTCACCATGGTTGACCGATTCACTAGGTGGCCAGAAGCTGTTCCGATGGAAAACCAAAAAGCCGATACTGTCGCTCGAGCCTTCTACAACACCTGGGTTGCTCGATTTGGAACTCCACTGAGGATCACGACCGATCAAGGTCGTCAGTTCGAGTCGCACCTATTTAAACAACTTAATCGTTTATTAGGTACTACTCATCTTCGGACAACAGCTTACCACCCATCTGCCAATGGAATGGTGGAACGTCTTCATCGGCAGCTGAAAGCTGCAATCATGTGCCATCAATCCAACCGATGGACTGAAGTGCTGCCAACTGTCCTGCTTGAAATTCGAGCAGCATGGAAAGATGACATCCATGCAACATCAGCTGACTTAGTGTATGGTCAGACCCTTCGCCTCCCTGGCGAATTTCTTGGTGTCAGCAGCAGCAGCGATGACAATATTCACAATCCAACAGATTTTGTCGTCGTGCTTCGTCAGCAGCTGCGAAATGTCAAGCCGTGTGCAGGATCCCGTCATGGAGCAAGGAAAACATTTGTCTTCAAAGATCTTGCCACAACTGAGCAAGTTCTAGTAAGACATGATTCTCCTAAACAACTGTTGCAACAACCATATGATGGACCCTTCAAGGTCGTCAAAAGGTTTGAAAAGAACTTTCTTATCAACATCAACGGCCGGGACGTCAATATTTCCATAGATCGCCTCAAACCAGCTTTTGTGATGGCTGACAATCATGAAGCTATTGTCGATCCACCTCCACATACGAGCATCCAGGAGGATGCACCTTCGAGGCAGATACCAGAACGAGAGGAGAATTCGCTACCACACTCTACAAGATCTGGCAGACGCGTACGGTGCCCTGATCGTCTGCAGGGTGGTTTTTCTTAATCGTTAACCACTAGCAGGGGGGTACTGTAGCGGTAGCGCAATATTTTATTGAAAAATTATGTTTTATAAATTTGATTTATATTTAATTTTCTCATACAACATTTACACACTACACAAATTGTCAATCACATTTTAATGTATTTTTAACAATTCATTTATTTAGGGTAGAATTCAATGCTTCGCAATTGTAGTCTAGTAGACTAGACTACTTAATAGGTTTTTAAATGTGTCGCTCTAGTATTGCAAAGTAAGTAAATGAGATGTCTTATTTCTCATTTACTTTTAATTGATTTTTAATGAGTTTTTAGACTATAAGAAGGGTGTACCTTATGTACATGACACTCAGTTCGAATTTGTCCACCACGTAGTGCCCTTTGTCATTCGCACAGTTTATCCGAACATTTCACTCGTTAAAAATCCAAAGTTAAATTTAACTTGTTTTTAACCTAACAACTTTTATAATAAACTGTTAAATATATTGTTGTACCTTATTTATATTTCGTGTATAATTTCAATTCCTTTAACCTATCCCACAAATTAAATTAAAATAAAAAATGGTCATCACAGTATTAGTGAAACCATTTCTCCCAAAGAAGGAGAGACATCGGGCAGAAAAAAATTTCGACGAGAAAAAATTTTCGATCACTGCTTATATACCAATCTAATGACACCTCAACTGCGAGAAACAGTTATGATGTTCGCCCTCCCTGTGACGTTGAGCAAACTAAAGTCCAGAGCTGAGCCATCAGCTCAGCGAGGGAACAATTGGAAAATTTGATTTTATTAGATATTTTATTTTATTTTAAATATGATAAATAATTAACTTAATAAATAATTAATGTAATAAATAATTATTAATAACATAATGTCATACTTAATAATTCGTTAATTAATTTTTTTTAACGAAAATTTGACAAAAAAAAATTTGTGGCCAAAAAAAATATTACGATAAAGAAAATAATTTTTTTGACAAGTTTTCGTAGTAAAAAAAATTAATTAACTAATTATTAAGCTAATTAGTGAATTAATTTTTTTTACAGAGAAATTTTGACAAAAAAAATTATTTTCTCAACGTGATATTTTTTTTGGGCCACAAATAATATTTTTACGTAGAAAATTTGAAAAAAAATTATTTTCTCATCGTCCCAAGTAGCACGATATATCAACCAGATGTCACGGTGATATCACCGGGGAATGTCACCGTGACATCAGGAAAATGTCAAAATGTTCGCCTTACGTTGATATCACACGGTGATATCATGGTGATATCATGGTGACATCATGGTGATATCATAGTGGTATCATGGTGATATCACCGTGATATCATGTTGATATTTTACAGGGATTTAAAATTTTTAAAAAATTATTATTTGTAAGTTTTTATAAGCGTACATAAAATTGACGGCGTATCGTCAAAAACGTCAAAACGGAAATTACCTCTTCCGGAAGTCTCACTCCAGCGCCTATACTTCTCTCATTCTCCACACAAAAATCGCGGGATATTTAAATAAAAGAATATATTGAATAAAATGCTTACAGTTCGGCCTTCCTGACAAGGTGATCGACCCGAGCACCAGGTAAGCCAATTAAGGTGCTTATATACCTCAAATTTCGATCAGATGAACATTATTTCTGGACCGTGAAAATGCGTGAAAAGTGATTTTCACGGCGGGTATTTTTGAATTGTTTTAAACAAAGAATGTTTTTTTTAAGAAATATAATATTAAATAATTGTTTTAATATGTAAGAACACTTTAAAATAGTGATAAAAAGATGATTTGATTGAAAAATTTAGCAAATTTTGCTTTAAAACGTTTCTGCTACAAGAAAGTGTAAAATGACGATGTTTGTGAAATGGTTTGTACAGTGTACATGTGTACATGTTTCTTTCAGTTATTCGAAACAATTAGTTGAATTTAAATTTATTTGACAAACATTTCAACTTACCGATTTATTTTCAGCACTCATTATTTATTACAAGTTAAAAAGAACCGACATAACATAAACAAAACTCTGAGAGACACTAACAAGGAAGAAGCACTGTACAAACCATTTCACAAACATCGTCATTTTACACTTTCTTGTAGCAGAAAACGTTTTAAAGCAAAATTTGCTAAATTTTTTAATCAAATCATCTCTCTATCACTATTTTAAAGTGTTCTTACATATTAAAACAATTATTTAATATTATATTTCTTAAAAAAACATTTTTTGTATAAAACCCCTGGCGGGTTGTGAAAACCGAATCGCAACCGAATTCGGTTGGGATTCAGTTGGGTTTCAGTTACCAGTGAAAAAAGTAGCGAAAAACGTGAAAATTGCTGGAAAAAACTATTGGAATGAATAAATGAATGATTTATGAGTTTATTCATGCAATAGTTTGTTTAAATTAAGCTTTAGTTAATTAATTATTAATAATAAAAGTCGAAAGGTGCTCACCTGTCACTTTAATGTTTGTGTTATAAGATAGAATGCTACTTTATCGTTAGTGAAATTGCCGCGCGCCAAACACGATAGATGGCAGCACGTGATTCTTCTCTTTTGACAATTTTATCATTTTTAAAAATTAGAATGCAAAATTTTGTTTTACCTTTTCTATTTTCAGTTATTATTAAATTAATCGAGATTAGATTTTATAAAAATTGTTATTATTATTAAAAAAAGGTTTTTTAAATTGTTCAAATAAAAATGCATTTACTTATATTGCAAAACAAACTTAGTATATTTATACCAATGGTAAAATAGAAATTGATAAAAAAATTTTATTAAAAAAATCACTTTTATATTAATGATAATAATTATTATTTTTATCATTATATTTTTCTAAATAAAAATTTCTTGAATATTTAAATGACAAATAATTGTAGGAAACAGTGGAAAGAAAATTGTTTAAAATTTCTGAATCTAACATTTGTTAAAAAATAATTGTTGAAATGTTATTATTTAGAATTGTAATAATTTTAAATTGAATTTAGTTTAATTAAAATTATTTTAATTTTTTTCGAAAAATTTTATTAAAATTAAAAATATTTCTTAAAATAAAAATTTGCATGCTTTTTTCACATTTTCTGTGTGAGATTTCAAAAACTTTTAGTGACATTTAATCTATTTTTGATGTAATGTAATTATGTAAATTATAAACAATTTTTTTACATAGATATTTACATTTACATTTACCCTACAGTTTTACTAACAATGGATATTTTATTCTATTTTGCATCGCATTTGAAAAATGTTTCTTTTTCATTTAGTAAGGGATTAAAAGAAAAAGGATTTAAAAAGGATTTTAAAAAAAGAGATTTAACATTGAAAATTAAAATTTTTAATTTAAAGTGATTCGTTTGGGAAATTCTGACCTGAAGCATTACAAAAAATTTAAATTACATATTTATAATAGATTAATGCATTTATTAATTCTTCATATCCCATTAATTGATTTTTCTTATTTTCCGATTCTGACTTTAAACCAAATTTTCCTTCAGATGAATGCTTCGAATTTCAGTTGATTCGAAAGTTGTTTTTTGTTCTCCAAGGAATTCTCTAATCCATTATTCATTAGTGAGACTTAATTCCCTTCGACCAGAAACCTGTTAAAACACAAATATAAATTACATAAACATTAATGGAAAATGGAAAACCGTTTATAGGGGATTCATTAAGAGTTCAATTAGAAAAAAAATGAATCAAAATTTTTAAAAATCGGTTCAATATAAACAGAGTTTTGCTGTCCGCTAGTTAAAAAAACGTCGTTTCAAGAGAAACGCGTTTCAACAAATAACTTTGAAAATTACAAATTTTTGCCAAAATTTGATATTAAAAAAATTGCAAGACATTTTTTACGTGCTTAAAATTGCTTTTCCTCATAGTGCGAATAAAAATTTTCTATTTTTGATTTAAAAGTTTGGAATTATATGATGATTTGTGATAAGAAAATGTAAGAACAAAAAGATTGATGTTTTTGTTAAAGAGTTTAAAATATGTTGTATTCCACGCGAACCAACTTATCATCAAAATTGACATTTCTAAATTGGGTCAAATTTTTTCACCTGTTCGTACTCCACGAAAAAGAGGTTTATGATTTTTTTCAAATTTTTCTGTTCAGCTGTTTAAGAGATATGAATTTTTCAAAATTTTAAATTTTTGAGAAAAACATTTTTTTGATTGATTATCACTTCTAAAAAAATAGATCAATTTTAATGCTACTAAAATGGAAATTTGTAGTTATTAGATCAACTTTTCAAAAATTTCTTGCAAAAAATTGTCAAAAATGTATTAACGGCTTATTTTGTTATTTTTGTGTGTTTAAATCTTATTTTTAAAGCTTTTTGTATCTGAAAAAATATAGTAAAAAAATATAGCAAAAATCATTTTCCCACAACGGAACTAGTCTTGCAATTTGATTAAAAAAAGTAGTTTTGTATAAAAATTATATAAAAATTGATGAATACAAACAACTTTAAAAATAAGAGTTTTATCTGTAAAATACAAAGAAGTGGTAAATGAATTTTCAATAATTTTTTGAATCAAATTTTTTAAAAGCTCATCTAAAAAGTAAAAACATTCATATTAGTAACATTTAAATTTACCACTTTTGTAGAAGTTATAAACAATCAAATAAATATTTTTCTTAAAAATTGTAAATTTTGAAAAATTTATATCTTCTATACGGTTGGATAAAAAAATTTGAAAAAAATCATGAGGCGTTTTTTTGTGGTGTGCAAAGAGGTAAAAAAAATTGAGCAAATTTAAAAATGTCAATTTTTATGATATGTTGATTTGGCATGGAATATCTCATATGCATGTGATCAAGTTGTTGATTATCATTTTCTGAAAAAAAATAAAAAATCATACTTTTTTACAATTTTTACATAGGTAATACAATGGTTATTTTGATCCCATAAAAATTGTATATAAATAATAATAAATGCCTCGTTTTTGAAAATTGAAATTTTCTTTTGAAGATAATTACTATTATATTAATTTCATATTTGAATTTTTTAATATCAATTAATTATTTCATCATGGATCTCTATATTTATGTAAGTAAACTTTATCAATTAAAAATATTGCATATTACCTTCAGCAGCCTTTTCATCACTAGGTCAGGCAATCTCTGTTGCTTCCTCGATGATTTTTCTGCTTGCCGTCTTTAATCAAATGGTGAATCTCAAAAAGTCGTTTCTTGCAATAATTGTCATTAACAAAGTCATTGACATATTTCAGTGAAATAATTTTCCCAAGCACGGGATCGTCTTCTACTTTTAGAGCTAAAAAAAGAAAAAGATTATTTCAGATGAAAAATTGAATATTGACCTGATCCATATCAAATCATGCAGGCAGTCCGATGATAGATTCCGAATTGACTTGACAATGAAATATGTTATTCTACTTGAAAAATAAAGAAATACGTATTTTTTTATTTTTTGATACGACTTTTTTTGGACGTTTTACGAATATTTGAAGATTTTATGAAAAAATTCGATTTTTTTGCATTTTCATCTTTAAAATCGTATATCTTCCGTAAATTTCAACCATTTTTGTTCGTCTTGGACTCATTTTTTTCGTTTTTTTATATTCTTTCAAGAAAAAGGACGTAGAGAGAAAAATATTGAAAAATAAAGACAAAAATTCAATTTTTCGAAAAAACAAAAAAAAATTTTTTCTCGAAAAGGCCACCTTCTTTTTGCTCCAAATTTTCAGGAATAATTGGTACTCATGTGTACTACTTTCCATAAAAATTTCATTTGGTATTTTTTTGTTTCTTAAGAGAAAAAAAATTATTTCCAATTTTTCATTAAAAAATTTAAAATTCCGCAATTTTCAAGGTTTCTGGTTGTTCCTGGGCTTATTTCTTCACTTTTTAACATAATTAAAAAAGATCTTGTCAAAAATAAATTATGTTGGTAATTAGCAATATTATTTAAGAATTAAAAAACGAAAATAAAATGTTTAAAAAAATTTTCCTTTTTCTGCTACTATTTTATAATTATAATAACCATTTTTATAATTCTTAAGATTTATTTTATTAGGTATTGACCTATTCTGAAGACTATATCTATAAAAGAGAATATAATTTCTACATTTAATTTTCATCTAATTAAGCTAATCTAATTTTCATCTAATTTACTTTGTAATTTTGCATTCCTCATGAATAAAAGACTGTTGTTTTGATGTGTTTAATTAAAATCTTTTATTTAAAAATAATTTTTTATTCCTCAGGCACAAAAATGGCGCTTTCAGATATCAGCCGACAGGACGTAAACAAAAAAATACCAAATGAAATTTTTATGGAAAGTAGTACACATGAGTACCAATTATTCCTGAAAATTTGGAGCAAAAAGAAGGTGGCCTTTTCGAGAAAAAATTTTTTTTTGTTTTTTCGAAAAATTTAATTTTTGTCTTTATTTTTCAATATTTTTCTCTCTACGTCCTTTTTCTTGAAAGAATATAAAAAAACGAAAAAAATGAGTCCAAGACGAACAAAAATGGTTGAAATTTACGGAAGATATACGATTTTAAAGATGAAAATGCAAAAAAATCGAATTTTTTCATAAAATCTTCAAATATTCGTAAAACGTCCAAAAAAAGTCGTATCAAAAAATAAAAAAATACGTATTTCTTTATTTTTCAAGTAGAATAACATATTTCATTGTCAAGTCAATTCGGAATCTATCATCGGACTGCCTGCATGATTTGATATGGATCAGGTCAATATTCAATTTTTCATCTGAAATAATCTTTTTCTTTTTTTAGCTCTAAAAGTAGAAGACGATCCCGTGCTTGGGAAAATTATTTCACTGAAATATGTCAATGACTTTGTTAATGACAATTATTGCAAGAAACGACTTTTTGAGATTCACCATTTGATTAAAGACGGCAAGCAGAAAAATCATCGAGGAAGCAACAGAGATTGCCTGACCTAGTGATGAAAAGGCTGCTGAAGGTAATATGCAATATTTTTAATTGATAAAGTTTACTTACATAAATATAGAGATCCATGATGAAATAATTAATTGATATTAAAAAATTCAAATATGAAATTAATATAATAGTAATTATCTTCAAAAGAAAATTTCAATTTTCAAAAACGAGGCATTTATTATTATTTATATACAATTTTTATGGGATCAAAATAACCATTGTATTACCTATGTAAAAATTGTAAAAAAGTATGATTTTTTATTTTTTTTCAGAAAATGATAATCAACAACTTGATCACATGCATATGAGATATTCCATGCCAAATCAACATATCATAAAAATTGACATTTTTAAATTTGCTCAATTTTTTTTACCTCTTTGCACACCACAAAAAAACGCCTCATGATTTTTTTCAAATTTTTTTATCCAACCGTATAGAAGATATAAATTTTTCAAAATTTACAATTTTTAAGAAAAATATTTATTTGATTGTTTATAACTTCTACAAAAGTGGTAAATTTAAATGTTACTAATATGAATGTTTTTACTTTTTAGATGAGCTTTTAAAAAATTTGATTCAAAAAATTATTGAAAATTCATTTACCACTTCTTTGTATTTTACAGATAAAACTCTTATTTTTAAAGTTGTTTGTATTCATCAATTTTTATATAATTTTTATACAAAACTACTTTTTTTAATCAAATTGCAAGACTAGTTCCGTTGTGGGAAAATGATTTTTGCTATATTTTTTTACTATATTTTTTCAGATACAAAAAGCTTTAAAAATAAGATTTAAACACACAAAAATAACAAAATAAGCCGTTAATACATTTTTGACAATTTTTTGCAAGAAATTTTTGAAAAGTTGATCTAATAACTACAAATTTCCATTTTAGTAGCATTAAAATTGATCTATTTTTTTAGAAGTGATAATCAATCAAAAAAATGTTTTTCTCAAAAATTTAAAATTTTGAAAAATTCATATCTCTTAAACAGCTGAACAGAAAAATTTGAAAAAAATCATAAACCTCTTTTTCGTGGAGTACGAACAGGTGAAAAAATTTGACCCAATTTAGAAATGTCAATTTTGATGATAAGTTGGTTCGCGTGGAATACAACATATTTTAAACTCTTTAACAAAAACATCAATCTTTTTGTTCTTACATTTTCTTATCACAAATCATCATATAATTCCAAACTTTTAAATCAAAAATAGAAAATTTTTATTCGCACTATGAGGAAAAGCAATTTTAAGCACGTAAAAAATGTCTTGCAATTTTTTTAATATCAAATTTTGGCAAAAATTTGTAATTTTCAAAGTTATTTGTTGAAACGCGTTTCTCTTGAAACGACGTTTTTTTAACTAGCGGACAGCAAAACTCTGTTTATATTGAACCGATTTTTAAAAATTTTGATTCATTTTTTTTCTAATTGAACTCTTAATGAATCCCCTATAAACGGTTTTCCATTTTCCATTAATGTTTATGTAATTTATATTTGTGTTTTAACAGGTTTCTGGTCGAAGGGAATTAAGTCTCACTAATGAATAATGGATTAGAGAATTCCTTGGAGAACAAAAAACAACTTTCGAATCAACTGAAATTCGAAGCATTCATCTGAAGGAAAATTTGGTTTAAAGTCAGAATCGGAAAATAAGAAAAATCAATTAATGGGATATGAAGAATTAATAAATGCATTAATCTATTATAAATATGTAATTTAAATTTTTTGTAATGCTTCAGGTCAGAATTTCCCAAACGAATCACTTTAAATTAAAAATTTTAATTTTCAATGTTAAATCTCTTTTTTTAAAATCCTTTTTAAATCCTTTTTCTTTTAATCCCTTACTAAATGAAAAAGAAACATTTTTCAAATGCGATGCAAAATAGAATAAAATATCCATTGTTAGTAAAACTGTAGGGTAAATGTAAATGTAAATATCTATGTAAAAAAATTGTTTATAATTTACATAATTACATTACATCAAAAATAGATTAAATGTCACTAAAAGTTTTTGAAATCTCACACAGAAAATGTGAAAAAAGCATGCAAATTTTTATTTTAAGAAATATTTTTAATTTTAATAAAATTTTTCGAAAAAAATTAAAATAATTTTAATTAAACTAAATTCAATTTAAAATTATTACAATTCTAAATAATAACATTTCAACAATTATTTTTTAACAAATGTTAGATTCAGAAATTTTAAACAATTTTCTTTCCACTGTTTCCTACAATTATTTGTCATTTAAATATTCAAGAAATTTTTATTTAGAAAAATATAATGATAAAAATAATAATTATTATCATTAATATAAAAGTGATTTTTTTAATAAAATTTTTTTATCAATTTCTATTTTACCATTGGTATAAATATACTCTTATAACACAAACATTAAAGTGACAGGTGAGCACCTTTCGACTTTTATTATTAATAATTAATTAACTAAAGCTTAATTTAAACAAACTATTGCATGAATAAACTCATAAATCATTCATTTATTCATTCCAATAGTTTTTTCCAGCAATTTTCACGTTTTTCGCTACTTTTTTCACTGGTAACTGAAACCCAACTGAATCCCAACCGAATTCGGTTGCGATTCGGTTTTCACAACCCGCCAGGGACAATTCAAAAATACCCGCCGTGAAAATGACTTTTCACGCATTTTCACGGTCCAGAAGTAATGTTCATCTGATCGAAATTTGAGGTATATAAGCACCTTTATTCTTCGTTTTTCGCTTCTATGTCACCAATACAAAGTTTCATACGATCAGGACTGAAAATCCCTAAGAAAGGTTTTTGAGATTCGTAATCAGCGACCCAAAAAACCCCTAGATACCAAGTTTGAAGTAAAGCCATCAATTTTTAAAAAAAATAGCCTACCTCTCAAAATCCGTCAGGTTTTTGGAGGTTAGAAAAAAATCCTGACGTGATGGAGCAAAACGGACTTCGGATTCGTGTTCAGCGCGTCAAAATACATAGGAAATGACTAGTCTGGTCTGCCGCGCACGACACTTTTTTTTGTGGGGCTGTGCAATTTGTTCACTTAGAATGCAATGATTCAAAATTGAATTAATTTGAATAAAGGGAAATTGTTTGTTCTATTCATAGATTTTAAAGGCGCGTTTCCATCCTTAACTCATTATTTAATAAAGAAAAAATTGTATTCATTAGGGGTCGGAACAAAGTTTTTAAAAATTTTGATGAGTCTATACTCGAGGGCGAATGTCTCTGTAAGAGGAAAGGAGGGTAACTCGGATAGGGTAGAGGTCACCGAAGGTGTCATGCAGGGAGAGACATTGAGTCCTGTGATTTTCAATTTGTAAATTGCTGATTTAGAAAAATATTTACTAGATAGGGGAGTAAGGGGAGTCTCAATCAATCATTTGAAAGAAATTTTAATTCAAGCTCATGCGGCTGATATTGCAATATTATCAGATAACAAAATTGGTATGAAAAAAATAATTGAAATTCTCCAGGACTACTGTGAAGAAAACAAATTAATAATTAACGTCAAAAAGACAAAATTCATGATCTTCCAGAGAGGTGGACGTGGACACACAAAAAAATACCCTGCTTTACTTTATAATAACGAAGAAATTGAAATAGTAAACTCTTATATATATATCTAGGAGTTCCTTTTGCGGAATCTGCTCTCTTCGCAAAGGCAACACAACAGACAATAAGTAAAACAAAATTAGCAGTAGGTACTACAATCCCCTTAATTAATAGCCTTAGGCTTGATTCGTAACGTCCAGTCCACAGTTTCTTTAATAGTTTTATAGCTAGTACCTTCTTATATGCGGCCCTAATATGGGGTCTTAGATATTTGGACGATATAGAAGCAATTCATCTAGATTACTATAAAAAAGTTCTTAACCTCCCCCGAAATACTCCGAGCTATGCCGTTCGTATTGAGACTGGTAGTTGTCATATTTCACTGAGAATTTTCAAAATGATTTTAAACTGGTTAGAAAAAATACTCGATATGGATAAAGAGCGATACCGAGTATTAAAGTCTTTGCGCAATTTAGACTATTAAATAATTATCAAACAAGAATTATAATTAAGAATAAATGTTTTAAACTCTTTAAAGATCAGAAATGCAAATGTATGGAACAGAAGCCGATTTTTTACGAGTATCATCTCTTTGTTAAATGCGAAGGATTATCCTTAATTAGGGAAAAATATCTTGTTAACAACGAGGATGAAAAAATTGTAAGAGATATAGGCTTAGTTTATTAAACGATAGGAATCCGACTTCAGTTAAAAAAATTGTAAATTTTATGAGTGAAATTCTAAATGATATACTGGGGTAAGGTCGAAGTTCAGAGAAAGAAGGAAAAAAAATAGATTAAGAAACAATGTTTGTATGGGTTCTTTTGTATGGGTTTATGAAAAACCCTATAACAAATAAATATAATATAATTATAAATTATTGATATATTAAATTACGTATACTTACGAATTTAGATGTGTAGCCATGATCTCATTTTACTCATAAGACACTGGTATATATATATATATATATATATATATATATATGTATATATAAAATAGAACACTTCATAATTGTTTTTATTTTTATTCTGTTCAACTTGAGTAGTTATTGTAAGGAGTCGATAGTGTTTGGAGCTCAGTTTCAGTTTTAAATTTGACGTCGAGAACAGCACATTTAATTTATATTATGATTATTTATTTATTTGATTATTTATTGTTTTTAATTTATTTTTATTTATTATGTGTCTGTTGTTATTGTTATTTATTTTTTATTATTTCTATTTATTGTGTGTCTGTTTATTTATTGTTTGTTTTTTAGAAAATGGATTAATTTGGTACTTAATTTTTTATTTCAATTTTCCTTTTTGACTATTTAAATTCAACAGTTTATTTTATATATTTCATTTGATTTATAGTAAATTTAATTAATTTAATTTATAATTTTAGATTCTAACTCAAGCTCTATGTTTCTCCAACGTTAGGGTTTATTTCGTTTGTTTTTATTTTTACTAAAATTTGACACTACAATTGACTCTATGATTTGACATTGTTTTAATTTTGGTAAAATTATTTAAAAATTCAATTTATTATTGTCGTTTATTTTAATTTTATCATTTATTGTATTATTTTCATTATTTGGTATTTGTTTTTATTGTTATAGTTGTATTAGTTTTTAATTATTTTTATTTTATTTTATTGTATTTGTTTTTTATTTTTATTGTATTATTTATTATTTTAATTGTTTTATTATTTATTATTTTATTGTAATTTACTATTTTTATTATTTTTTGTATTTGTTTATTTGACAATTTATTGTAATTTCGATAGACTCCCTGAAAAGGAAATCATGTAGATTTCGAAACGTTGGAGTGAACTTTTATTAAACAACAATTGTCCGAATGTTATCGTTTTTATTCATACGAAACCTTCTAATTAACACTTCATAAATTATTCTAAATTAATTAACTGCTTTAATTATTTTAAAGAATTCTAAATAAAAAAGGATCACTTTTCAAGCTATTAAGGTTTTCGAGATTTTCTTTTATTGATAATAAAAAATTATTCAAATTTTTGAAATGTGCAAATGTTAATTAATTATTACAAATTAGTATAATTATATTATAAATAATAATACTATACTATAATATTATAATTATTATTAATTATTATTAAATTAATTCAATATTAAATTAATAATAATGCTTTACGTGAGCCGTGTTGAATAATTTAAGTTTGTATCTGTTCGTTGTGATCTATGATCGTATATATCTGTGCGTCAGTTCGTTAGTTATCAATTTCATAATAAAAGTCATGAATATTCAAATGTATTTTTTTATTATTATTCATTAAATTGTTGTTAACTTTGTTCAATTATTCTGAAAGTTTTTTTTTCAAAGTGCAAAACCTTCATATTCACATTTTCTCCCCTCTAACAAAGTTAAAGAAGTATTTACTTATATTAATATTCGTATTTTCTTGACTCAAGACTATATTACCGTTGAATTAATAATAATAATAATAATAATAACAATAATTTTGTAAGAAACTTAATATCAAAGTAGGCAGCTCTCTCCATTCTATAGGATTGAGAGAATTATTTTTAATTAATAAAACTAATTAATATAATAATTAATATAATAAAAAAATTTCAATTGCGATTATTTCACTAAAAGAAACTAAAAAATTTCCGTCACGAATTTCTCATCAAAAAAAGCTTCAGAATGTTTCCAAAAAAAAATCCAGCAAACGTTTTAGAACAAAAAAAAGGCAACAAAAAATTTAATAAATAATCAAAAAAGGAATTAAACACCCTTTTATTAAATTGAAAATAATTTTTCATACCTATTAAAATCATGTTCACCTTTTATTAATTTTTGATTTACCATTTTTCAAAATTTAAATTTCTTTCAGTAACCATTATAGTTTAAAATTTTTGAATTTTGACCTTGATTTTCTATAATTAAACATAAATTTGCTATTTTCACCAAAATCGATACTTTTTTCAAAATAAATAATTGCAAATGAAAGCTGAGGTTTTTTCCGATCTGTATACAAATTTTCAGAATGCCGATTTTTTTCTTTTCGAGATATTAAATGTCAAAGATTTTATGTCGGAGCGCGCGGGTGTAAACTGTAAAATGTAGTTAGATCGTGTGACGTAGGCAACCGTCAATATGAAAAATCGGAGGGAAGGAAATTTCGTGTCGAACCGTTAATTAGGAGGATTGACTGCAATTAGGTTCAGGAAAAAAATGAAAGTATTGTTTTTAATGAATCAAAATTATACGTTTTTAAATTATTTTGTTTTATTAAAGATACCTACAATTTTTTTCAAATCTTAAATGACAAACAAATAATTAATTAAAATTAAATAAAAAAAAATAAATAAACTAAAATTTACACATTTTTAGCAAAGAAATAATAGAATACATGTCAAACAACTTTATACTTATAAAGTTCCTTTACGTAAAAACAACTACAGATTTTTTTTACATTATAATTTTTATATTTCACTAAATTCAAACAATAAACTTTTTTAAAAAAGTTTGAATTTTTGATATATTTCACTTTATCTTTATTATGCGTTTGCTGATTGTTTATTTACAAAAAAAACTCTAAATTGAGTTTGTTGCGCATGTAATATATATGCAGTGCCCTATGCATAGTTAGTTGATGGAAAATGATTCCTTTAATATTTTCAGAAAAATATAATGCTTCCAATTAACCTGTAAGTTTTCAACAATCTTTCGACAAGCTTACAGTTAATTAATTTTATTATATAAAAACGTAAATATAAGAATTATATTACGCTGAGATTCGAAAAAGAATTAAATTTTTAATTTAATTTTAATTAATTTACACTCTCTGCCCCTACTGTACAAAATTGGTTTAGTATTAAAAAATCATTCAATACATGAAATTGCAGCTTAAGTTGTCTATAGTTTCATTTGTCTTATAGCGTTTTTGAAAATATAAATATGAACGACCAATATGGCGCCTGAAATAAAAAAATGCAAACAAAAGAAATGTAATTGTTATTGTTGAAGCTTCAAAAATTAGTTGAATTATTCATACACATTAAGGGCTTCTAGCGATTTTTTAAAACTTTATCAGATTTGCTTGAAACTTTTTACTCGGAGGTATTATGTTTCCTAATTTCAAATATGAAGTCAATTTTTAAAAGGCATATATAAAAACACCCACGTAATAAAATTACTAACAAACTTAGATATTTAAATGATAATTGTTGCTATATTGGATCCGCCATTTTGAATTGTTAAAAAATAACTTCAATTTCGTAATCAGAGACCCCAAAAACCCCCAAGTAAAAAGTTTCAGGCAAATCTGATAAAATTTTAGAAAATCTCCGCCATTTTGAATTTTTGAAAATTAACTTCAGATTCGTTAGATTCGTAATCAGTGACCCCTAGAGGGTAAATCCTAGTAAGGCAGCACCATCTATATCGAAACTAAAATTTTGTAAAATTTTCCACAGTATTTACTTGAAAACAAGACAATAAAATGCTTTTTACTTTAGGATAATTACTTATTTTCAAGAAATACACCAGCTAAAACTTTTTTTATATTAAAATAATGAAAAAAAATTAATGACGATAAATTAAATATGAGATTCACTAATCACGAAAATATCAACAAAAACTTTTTTTTTAAATAACACATCAACACTATTTTACTGATTTTGACAGACATTTGGTAGGTAATATATTTCATAAGACGTTTCGCGATTCTGCAAACAGGAGGAGATTGGCGCTGTTGTTAACAAAAAAAATATATCACTTGCCAAATGGCTGTCAAAATCAGTAAAATAGTGTCGATATGTTATTTAAAAAAAAAGTTTTTGTTGTTATTTTCGTGATTAGTGAATCTTAGCTGGTGTATTTTGTAGTGTTTATTAATTCTCCAAATGAAAATCGCATTCTTTCTTGTTACTTCCGAGAAAATATCTTAAAAGTTTTCGTAAAAAAATATGCTCATATTTAATTTATCGTCATTAATTTTTTTTTATTATTTTAACCCCAAAAAAGTTTTAGCCGGTGTACTTCTTGTCAATAATCAATTATCCTGAAGGAAAAAGCATTTTATTGTCTTGTTTTCAAGTAAATACTCAAACTTTTAAAACATATATTTCATTTTCAAAAAATTTGAATATAACGCAACTAGTAAACAATGTTTTTTTAAATAAGGAAAACGGTGAGCATTCTACACTCCGCAATTTTTAGTCTAAAACAAAAACTCAAAATTTTTTAGAAAGGTGACATCCTAAACAATAGGTCGGCCACTTTTTTAAAACACTGCGTTTTTGCCTTATTTTTTTATGTTTGACCTCTTGTAAAAATCTTTATTGTTAACAATTGTAACATATTAAAGGTATAACAGCAAAATTTAGTTACCTTTAATTAGCCGCAAACCCGAAGTTGATTGGTCAAGTAGTTTAGACGCTACGATGCCTACCAGTTTGAAAAATCTTGTTTCGAGAAAAACGAGTTTAAAGTTTTGGGAACATTTTGAGGCATTTTTATATGTAATATTTGTCTACTCTAAAAAAATCTTTTTTTTACTCCCGCAATGGAAACCTTCCCTTAATATGGATTGTCTGAATAATTCAACTAATTGTTGAAGCTTCAACAACAACAATTATATTTTTTTTGTTTACATTTTTTATTCCAGACGCCATATTGGGCGTCCATATTTATATTTTCAAAAACTCCATACGATAAATGAAACTAGACATCTTAAGCTACAATTTCATGTATGTATTGAATGATTTTTTAATATCAAACCAATTTTAGACATCATTCTGAACATTAAATAAGAATCATATTGCACAAACAACAAACTATCTTCTTATTAAACTGAACTTCGAATTAGAATTATATTTTATTAACAAATGAATAAGCATTCTATCGAGCATTTTATCAACGTCATTATGTAAACAAAATGATAAGTCTCTTTTAAGCAGATTTTAGAATAATGGAGGATCCAATATGATCGACGATTATTTGAAAACCAGATTTCGTTTAATACTTGTTACTTGAGGTTTTCAATGTTGCTAATTACGAATCTGAAGTTGAATTCAAATATTTCAAAATCTCGGATTTAAACAATATTTATAAAATTTTCTTTTACAATGATTTTTTATAGAAAGTAAAAAAAAACTTGTAGAAAGTATGAAAAAATTAAAATTGCGTTTATCATAAGAGCTTTATATTTAGCCAAAAAACGGAGTATGGATTCGAATTCAGCGTTAAAATTTACCTTAGAAAGACGTTTCTGTTGCTCGGGCCTAATACCGCCGTGTGTTCCTTTGAAATTAGTATACATAATACTCTTTTATTTTATAGACAAAGAAGAAACCATTGAAACCTGACACATACGGAACTGTTCAGTACTGTATAGATATGCCTACCCTTTAATTGAAATTAGGCCTTTAATTTATTGACAGCTTTTCGTAGTAAAATGCATACTAAAAACTTATTTTATAAGGCTTGAATCTAAAAGAAAAGAAGATATATTTTAACAGTACTATGCCATTTCAATTTTTGAAACAAAATCATATATATCCCAACTTTGGATAAACTAAACTTTGGATTAAAAATTCGAATTACTTTTTTAAAAATACGCTTTTCAGTTGTTTCAAACAAAATTTAATTTATTTAAAAAATTTTTTGATTTATTTCAACAAAATTATTAATTTGAAATACGATGATCAGGTAAAAAATGGGATATACTGTGATCTTTTTATTATAATAAAAGTACTTTTTTCACTGTCACCGTAAATACTAGAAATATGTTTCTTCAAGCTACAATTTAAATACATACACGTAGCACAATTATTGTGACTGTTTATGGAATGACTTCCTCTTATTTGATTCTAAAGAGTATTCTTGAAAGACGAATTATAAACAGTCAAAGGACGAAACAATTTCAACATCAGGCTTCTGTGTTTTGAACATTTGAACGCCCTCCCGTGTTACTGATGTACCTGTTACATCGACGTATTCCAAATTTGACTTACTTACAGCTAGATGATGCAGACTTCGATCTGTGACTTGACGATAATTTCTAAAAAAAAAAAAATATTCCAAATTACAATTACAAGAATCACGCAATTTTTTCTATTCTTAACCCCTTAAAAAAGTGCCACTATACTTCAAAAGGTTAAATAATAAGTCAAAACTTCCAATTCTTAAATTTCAAATCACCTAAAATATAATTATTTCTATAAATCTTATAACTGTAGATCTTCCAATATTCGATTATTTAAAAAAATTTCAATTAAAAACAATACTTGATGTGTTTGTCAAAAATTATTTTTTAAACATTTTTTCGATAAATTATAAACATTTCGTCTTGTGTAGCTTCATTCAAAGATAAATTAAAAAATAACTATAATAAATTTTTGCTAAAATATTTGATTTTCTTCTTGGGTGACAAATACGTTGATAAATATTTTAATTTTTTAGTTCGGAAAATAATCTTTGAAACAATGATATTTTTCTAGACTGTTTAAATAGTAACCCTTTTTAAAATTTTCAAAAACACCCGTCAAACAATAGAACATGCAATATACAATCTATAGAACCCTATTGAAAATCCCTGTACAAGATCTTGTACAAGAAAATGTACATGTTCAGCAGCTGAACTTGTACCTGTTCTGGTGAGAACATGTACAAGATCTTGTACAATTTCGGCACCAGAATTTGGAACAAGGTCTTGTATCAGAACTTGTACAAGATCATGTACAAAAATATGTTTAATATTTGTATACAAGAAAATGTACATGTTCTTGTACAGGTTCATTTGTCTTCGTTTAGTAAAAATTAAAGACTTTAAAGGCTGCGCAGTAGTTTTCTTAGGACTTTACAGCAGCGCAATAATTTTTGGCATACATAAGTAAATGGTTTTAATGATTCTAAATTATTAAAATCTTAAATTTTGTTTAAAAAATTTTTTTTTAAATGAACTTGTACGAGAACATGTACATTTTCTTGTATACAAATATTAAATATATTTATTTGTCCAAAATTTTGTACAAGTTCTTCTACAAAAACTTGTTCCAAATTCTGGTGCCGAAGTTGTACAAAATCTTGTACATGTTCTCACCAGAACAGGTACAAGTTCAGCTGCTGAATATGTACATTATCTTGTACAAGATCTTGTACAGGATTTTTCAATAGAGAACACGATTAAATATAATAAGTCAATCGTCCTCAATTGTAAGAACACGATTAAGGACAATAGAAAATTCTTTCCTATTGTTTTCAATCGATTTTTTCTAGAAGAGCGTGCACACTTGCACTATTTTTTTGATCTTTTATTGTTCTTGGTATCAATGAAAAGCTAAGATTCAAAGAAATAATTATGTGGCAAAATTTTTTTCTATAATTTTTATATATGTTAGCTTTGTAAAAGAAAATATTAAGACGTATTTAAACTATGAGTTTTCCAACGCAATAAAGAAAAATTCTCTGCATTTATTTTTGAAGAATTTATCTCCATTTTAATGCAAGCAGGGTTTATGTTACTTAAATAGTAGTTTAAATATTTTTTTTTTTGTGAAATAATCACATTCTACAAAGCCATCGATAATTTTTAAAATTAATAAAATAATTAATACGTTAATAATAATAATAATTATTATAATTTATTATAATTATTATAATAATAAAATTAGTAATAAATAAATAATAATAATTAGTATTATTATAATAATTATAATTATTGTTAACATATTAATTATTTTATTAATTAATTTTATTAATTTTAAAAATTATCGATGGCTTTGTAGAATGTGATTATTTCACAAAAAAACTTAAAAATTTCCTTCACGAATTTTTCACCAAAAACAAACACAAAAATGTAATAAAAAATTTAAAAAGGAATTAAACACCCTTTTATTAAATTGAAAATAATTTTTGTTTATTTTACGGACAGTCTCAACCCTGTAGAATGCAGAGAGCTGTTACTGAAATAAATAGGAATAATATAGGTGTGTACAACGATGGGTACTCATCTTTGCGTCGATTGCGCGGGTGCACTGCCAATTTTTATATGTATAATGTTTCTCACAAAATTATTGTTGTTCCACTTTCATATTTACATAGCTTATAGGAAAAAACCTCAGCTTTCCAATGAAAATAATAATAAAAAAAAATACCCGAAGGGTTAAAAATCGAAAAATAAGGGTTGATTTTGAAAAAAAGGGGTGAAATTTTTTTTTTTAATTTCGTATACATTTTTGAAAAGTACGTGAAAAATGCATTAAAATTCATTATAGATAAATTAAAATCCATTAACTTTTGTCATATTTATACGGATTTGAAAATGACAATGTTACCCTTAACGTCAAAACTTCAACCCCCTCTACTTTCTACAGATATTTTTTTAATGAGTTTATATTTTAGGGATTTATTACTTTCATATAGGACAACAATTTACCAAAGTATGAAGCCAATCCCAGAACATTGACTTTTTGGGCTGGGGCGATTGAAAAAGAATCTCTCATATACACACTTAGCACATTAAAGGGGTTAAGGTATCTATAAATTGCAGTCTACTATCACAATAGAAGACAAAATACCACAGTAATAAAGTACTTTCAGAAACTTCATAGTTGACAAAAAATTTTATGTTAATTGACATACATATAAGACGGTGCGCCAGAATGAAGTTTAAATAAAAATGTAATGTAATCAAAATATTCATTGATATTTAAAATATATTACCCTGTTTGATATAAAAAGGCGCATCTTTTTTTCCTTTGATTTTTTTCCATAGGACAAAAAACCTTTGATATTAAATGCAAAAAACTGAAAAAACTTTTTTCACGAATTTGAATAAATTTTTAAACTTAAATCGTCGTATCTTTGATAAATGTTAATGAAATCACTTGTCATTTTGTATACACACTTATTAGGGTACATAGAAGACGATAGTATAATAAAAAAATTTTTTTTTTAATAATAATTAATTATAAATAGTGAACGGTCGGTAATCGCGTTTTCTAACCTTTGACGAAAAAAAGTCTGTGGGGAACTTTAAAATTTTTAAATTTATTTTCTCCTAATGAATAAGGTTAAACGACACGTAAAATGAAAAATGCACAGTTAAATACGTTTGTTTACATTTAAGGTCAGCTCAAGGGCAACACAACATTAGTACAAACATACCACTATTTTAAATGTTATACTTCTTAAAATTCCAATTTTATAATAAAACGAAAATAATATTAATTTATGTATTTCAACTTATTTTATTTCATATTCAGGTGTTTAGTATTAATAACACGTTCTTTCAAGCGACTGTAAATGATTCGCTCCGCGTGGCGTCTTGGAAAAACACTTATATTTTCAAAACTTAGAAATGAATCGATTTGAAAATTTCCAGAAAACTTCCTTATATCATGATAAACAAATGTCTCATTCGAAGTTTTAAAAATTTTAAAGTTCCCCACAGACTTTTTTTCGTCAAAGGTTAGAAAACGCGATTACCGACCGTTCACTATTTATAATTAATTATTATTAAAAAAAAAATTTTTTTATTATACTATCGTCTTCTATGTACCCTAATAAGTGTGTATACAAAATGACAAGTGATTTCATTAACATTTATCAAAGATACGACGATTTAAGTTTAAAAATTTATTCAAATTCGTGAAAAAAGTTTTTTCAGTTTTTTGCATTTAATATCAAAGGTTTTTTGTTCTATGGAAAAAAGTCAAAGGAAAAAGAAATTCGCTTTTTTATATCAAACAGGGTAATATATTTTAAATATATAAATATCGAATTTCAATTTTTCGAACATTTTGGGTGTTTGACTGGCTTTAGAGCGTCCAGCCGAGTGCTCGGCGAGTTGTTTCTCCCGGCTCCTAAATTACATGAAAATACTTGAGCGTGTCATATATTAATAGTCTTGATAATCCAAAGTGTCTCTGACACCGAAGGTATGTTCATCTGCCGGTACTCCAGTTGCGCACTCTACTCTCCATAGAAGATTTTTATTACTTTGCCATTTGCAAATCGTCAGATTATATTTTATTCGTTATTTCTGTGTTATTTCCTTCAAATTAAAAAAAAATTAACCGCGTTCGAGAATGTGAAGACAATGTTTTTTTGCAAATTTGTTCCCTTACGTTACGTCTACATTAAAATACTCTTAACACATTCACAAATTATAATGAATAGGAATTTTGAGGGAACATTACATTTTCATTTAAACTTCCTTCTGGCGCACCGTGATAAACTGAGTTAAGAAATAAAATCCAAAGCATGTATGTATCAAGTACGAAAAGTTGCCGCTTAAGAATAAGTTAAATGTATCGATCGTTTTTAATCAAAATACAAGTTTGGATATTAGTATTACAGCAAGAGGGCTACGACCCCAGCTTCTGATCCCGGATAAATTCCCTACAGGCTTCTGGTAGCTTGATTGATTGGTAAATTTGGCCAAAAATTAGTTTATGCAATATTTTTAAACTTCCAAATTGAATCCAAAAACAACATTTGAGGTGATAAAACTTATAATTATATTTCGTCGAAGTTGTTCGAAGATATTTAACATATATAACGGTAACTTGTCGAGTGAAGTCACTTTTCAGAAATATTTAAAATAAAGGAGAATAAGAGCTATCTCCTTTACCTCTTTATTAGTTTTTTGGCGTCGGTGACATACACTACGTAAAATGGACGACAAATCTTAAAAACTGCAATTAAGATTAATGGAACTAGAGGCACAAACAAAAGGTATCTTTGTTAAAATAGAGCAGTTAGGAAACAATGAAGAGGAATTACATTTCGAGGGTAAGGCTATTCACAATAAAATAAAGAATCCAAAAACGCTTCCTACCAATATTTTACATAAAATGGCGGATACGGACAAATAAAGACTCGATCTTATTTCCTGAATCGAAGACGAAAACCATAAATAAAAATCTCAATAAAACAACATATTTATCTTTTCTGGCAGATATCGAAGAATGGAAAAAAGAAAATAAGATCAGTGAAGAGAAAAACGAAAACGATTTGACAGAAATAGAAATGGAAGAAGAAATTGAAGGTCGACTA